CAAGTGCCCTATTAAAAATTGTAGAAATACTTCAGAACTAAATGATTTAAAATAATAACCATAAGCGTACAGCCATTCTTCGTATTGGATGCGTCTGAGGATAAATCGACCATGACTTGAATTGAAATACTGCTGTGCTTGGCAACTCACTTACCTATCAATGTCTTGTAGATGTGGAAAAACTTGCATTTCATGATTTGCAAACGGTAATGACAACATTTGGCTTAAAAGGACATGCATCACTTGACATTCATTTTTTTTAAACCAGCAAGCAAACACTTTTAAACAAATATTCAAACAAAAAGAAAGAAAGAAAATCTGTGAAAAGTATGTAATAAACATTTATAAACTCACTATAAACTTGGTCAGATTGCATTGTTGGGGACGCTTCTTAGCTAGTAGGTTTTCTTCAGCCTGCCCCCACCCCCTTACTTACCCATCTCAGTTTCAGACCAGTCCACTAATGACAGAAACAGGGTATCATCGTCCAGCAGCAGGAGAGAGAAATCCAGCATCGAAGCCTGCTCTGCATGATCACACCGATCAGATTTCTTCTCTCTTTTCCCTGTCAGAATATTGCAAGTTAAAGAGAGCTTCCAACTGTACATGTGTAAATTTTTCAGGCACGCCCAATGCGCTTTTCCAGCATTCCTAGAGATAGTACACTGATTGGTTAGGTGTGGAAAGCATAAGAACGATGATACAGGTAAATTTGAAAAACAAATCATATTTACCTGTTTTTAATTTATGCCACAGAGTGAGACAACGGTCTGATTCGAAGCTTAAGCTAGTCACTTTAAATATATAGGAGCCACTCAGTAAAAGGGGGATCATCTGTTTCCAATGAATAAAATGCAAATTGTGGCAGAATTTACTTGCACTGTCGCCAATGAGGATTTCGATGATAAAGTGTTGTGACTTCCACCCAATCCTCAAGGCACACTAACAGTGCAAGATTTGGACATCTCTCAGTTCTGTTCAAATGGGGATAATGTCAAAACCTGGTGTGCTTTCTGGCCTATGTTGGGAACCAATGGACTATCGAGCATGTGATCATGTGATTTGAAATAAGCATGCGCATGGCAATACATTTATTATTGGATGCAATGGATGATCAGGGATTGGACACGTTTTCTGATTTCCGCAGTCAGTGGAAGATGATCAAATCCCGGTAAAAAAGAAACAAACTTAAATATTGGGATCATAATAGATTATTTTTTCCTATATAATATAGAATGTATAAATGTATATAACGGATAAAGGTAAACCTAAGCTGCAGTGTATCTTTTAATAAAGGCAGATCACCTGATTATCCTTAATTAATTACTGTATATTATTGCCAAACTATGTTTTCAGACTGGAACACTAATCTCACTATCCTTAATCATAATGAGCCATTTTTAAAAAAAAAAAAACATTGTAATTTTTAAAGCCAATCATCTTGATCCACCCATCCGGTGAGGTGGAACCTATTCAGACTCTGGGCATTTGTGATTTGCAGTGATATCCTGTTATGACGAGCTCAGTTCTTAGAAGTATGCAGTCCAGGTAAGAGTGCCAAAAGACTTGCTATGTTTGCATATATGATTCAATGTGTTGGTTTCTTGGAAGCAATTTTTTTTCATTCTTGAAACATGTGGCTCATATGTTGCTGGAAGGCAAGATTGTAAGGTGAAATAGGTAAAGTATGAATCATTTTACACCGTCTACATCTCACGTTTATTTGTTGACGATTTAGCTAAGACTTTGGCTAGTCACACTCAGATAATTCATTTTAAGCTCCCATGTGCCATTAAAGGGACACTATAGTCACCAGAACAATTACAGCTTATTTGTCCTGGTGAGTATAGTCAGTGCCTGCAGGCCTTTTAATGTAAACACTGTCTTTTCAGAGAAAATACAATTTTTACATTACAGCCTAGGGATACCTCCAGTGGCCACTCTTCAGATGGCTACCAGAGGTGCTTCCACTGTGCAACGTCTCCACCCTCTGCATGGAGACACTGAACTTTCCATATAGAGATGCATTGATTCAATGCATCTCTACGAGGAGATACTGATTGGCCAGGACCTAGAAGCTTATGGGAAAGCATTGTGATTGGCTGAGATCTTCACTTCTGATGAAGTCAGCTCTAATGATGGTGCCACAGGTGGAGTTACACCTCCGGCAGGAAATCTATATATCTCTGTATCTCACTATGAAACTCTGCAGATACAGATTACAAGCACTATGACTACTTCAAAACACAAGCGGTTATGGTGCTTGTAGTAACCCTTTAATACCTGAGCACAAATAAGGTCTACTTAAACAGGAGAAGTGAGATTATTGAACACTTTGGGGTCATTTTCAATCTTGCTGGTAAATAGCAGGTCTAAGTTGACGCTATTAACAAAAGCCAGTTGGTAATGACTATTTTTTACTGACAGGTTTGCAACCCTGAATCACATGCTGAGAAAGTTCTCACCACCCCAACCGCACGTTCTTGGTAAAAATGGCTAGACTTGAGCATGTGTACTACACCACGTGAATGTCTTTAGCAGGACATAACAGTGTATACAATGTGTTAAACCGTGATTGTGTCACAATTGAATATGTATTAATACCTACTTTAGAGTTACAATGTAATGCCATATAGTTGAAAGGAAATGTATTCAATGCATTTGTCACCTATGTAAATTAAAGATCCTCTTTGGCACTTGGAGAGAGTAGTGACAGTACAGACACACCTCAGAACTGGTTCTGGAGAAAGGCATTTGTTTGCAGAAACAAACAAAGAAAAGTATATCAAAATATTAAATAGGTGTCTAAATGGCAAAATTAAGGTTAAAAAAGCCAAACTGTGACCAGTAGCGTTCAAACCCGGCAACCATTTGCTCCAGGTGACAGGGGTATACCCTGCATATTCTCTCTCGCCAGAGCAGACACCTGCCTACCAGTGGTGGAGCCGTGTTGCAATTGCAGACCATGCGGGGAGCAGGGGAGCTGCTCTGATCAGTCTGTGCCCTGCCTGCACCTCTCCCTCGCCGCTCTGGACAGATACTGGGCGTCGGGATGTAACATCTCCCTAGAACCAGCGTCAGTAGAGAGCTGCAGGGAGTTGTGCATCGAGTACAGAGACTGATCTCAGCCGCAAACCACTGGACTCTAGAATTTTGCACCAATTCCTTTCAGCTGCGTCAAACAAATCGAATACCTGTCGAGCCACGGACGTTCAAAACGATTCGTTCAGATTGCCCAACTCTTCAATTTGGTTGCCCATAGATTGACAGGCATTTGCTTCGTTTGACGCCGCTGAAAGGAATTTGTGCATTAGTCTACTAGACACCAGGGATAAATGAGCCCCCCCCCCAAAAAAAAAAAATCAAATGTGTGTGAGTGTATGAATGGGAGTATTTGTGTGTGTGTATAAACAAAAAAACAGAATTGGAGGGTTCCCCCCCCCCCATTTTTGGGCGATTTTAACCGAAAAATGTACAATTTCCTACTTAACTCTGCCCAATTCCCCATTTAGAAAATCAACCACAATGTATGCAGTGGAGTTAATGAATACCTCTGTATTATTTATCGTTGCTCAATTCTCCATTTAATGTCCACACCTGTCCTTCTGGGAGGCTTGAGAAACAGATATGTAAGAACCCTTAAGGTCATGTGTGCGCACACTGAGTCATTAACCTGAATTCACATGCAGCAACATACAAAAACATTAATATTATGCCTCGTCCCTTTAAATAGCAATCTTGCAATGTAACCCATTGGTGACAAAGAATTTGACAAATCTCTTTACATCATGTCACTTACTGAACACCAGCTGTGATATATGGAGTGTAAAGCCCATCAAACCACAAATTTTAAATTATTAGATAAGACGTTTTGTGATTAGGGGTCACCAGATATTGCAGAACTCCAACTCCCATCACTAGATTCTGAATGTTAGAATATTCAATGGCAAATTTAAGGCATATGAATTGGAAAAATCCCTTTAGCCTAGATTTAGTAATGTGGCAGTGTTTGTTTTGTCACTCTAAAAGTTGTCATTAACCCAATATCTCCCAGCTGCTTTGCAGTTGCAGACCCCAGTACAGAAGTTTGGCGCAGGGGGTGATGCGGTGTCTTTGAGAACGCCCCCTGCAGCTTACACAGCATATCGACCAATGAATGAGTTGACAAATTGTAGCAGGTACCAAAAATAAAATATAATTGAAGCAATAAAAAAAATAATTAAAAAAATAATAATAATAAAAAGGCACGCTTTTACACGATCTCCATGTTTTAATCGTAAAAAATCCTTTATTATAAAAAGTCTGCTTACAAAAGTCACATAAATAAACTTTTTTTTCCTTTTTACACTGCACCTAATACTGAGAGAGCTGTAGGTAATTAGCAACATCAGACAACGATTTTTTGGTGAATATTTAACCATTTCAAAACCGGTCTTCATTTAAACACCCGCAGGTTCAGCACTATCACAGCAATTAATACGTTATTTTTTTATTATTTATTATTATTATTACTACACCCTCTGACGCAAGCAACAAGAATTCTACAAAAAAAAAAAAATATATAAAAAAAAAAAAAAGACATTAATAAGAAAACAAACATTGTAGCTTATTCTTGCAGCTTACAAATCAATGTTGCATTTGATTAATTCTTTCCTTTCACAGTAGCCAAATGTCCCTTCATTTCTTCTTTATGGCAGCAATGAAAAAATAAAATAAAAAATATAAAAATATTAAATAAAAAATGAAAAAAATATATGAAATGAGGCACTGTCAGATTTTTGCTGTTGTTGTTGCTGCGAGGGGTAGTGGTAGCAACTCCCATCACCACGGGACAAGGGCTGATCTGAGGGTGATAGGAGTTGCATCTCCTTCCAAATCTGGCCACAAAATAAAAAAAAGTATCAAGAGAACGCTGCCCCATCTGAGAGTTCTAGAATACTGCTGGGTGATGTTACAGTAACTGTGACTGCAATACTTCCCCCCCCCCCTATCACTGTCTCTTAGATCTGGATCACAACAGGGCTAGTGTCCCTTGGGTGCCTCTCATAGTGTTCCAGCCAGCTCCTTAGCTCAGAGATCTTGTACCCCTCAGGTCCTCTGCCTCCCTGGTACACCACCTTGCCCTCCAGGATGACATAGAGCCTCTCAAAGTAAGCCCCATAGGCAGAATTGGATGCATTGCTCATTGAGTCCACCACCACCCTGCAGCCTGGCAAACCCTGCACCATCAGCTGGGCAGCCTTCAGCCGGTCCTGGAGGCACTGGTGCCTGGGGATTTGGTAAGATGAGTCTGTACTCACCCAGCCATCAGAAGGATGAGCCTCCTCTATATAGACCAGTAGGAAGTCGGCCATGTGCATGTGCTGTACTGCCAGCCGGTGGTATGCCTGCAGCCGAGCCATGAAAGGGGGTCAGGTGCAGCTCCCAAAATTCACTATCAGGGGTCTGTGCGCCTGACAGAAGTCCAGCAGCCGGCACAGCCTCTGCCCATCCAGGGGGACCACCTCAGTGTTGGGGGCAGGGCAGCCCAGGTGGGCAGACTTGAAGTAGTCCAGTTTCTGGCCATGCCACACCGCCCGCAGGGACTCCACCGTGCACATCCTGTTGGAGTCCGACACGCAGACTGGGGGGTCGTCCCTCTCGGGGGTCTCCTCCTCCTGCTCCCGGGCACTGAGCAGGACTTTCCTCCTGATACATTGGAAGTCCAGTAGCCACAGCATTAGGGCTGTGAGCAGGAAGCGGGGGAGCAGAAGGCAGCAGGCGGCCACCTGTTTGACAAGTTTGCTAGTGTGGGGTCCTGCATGGTGCAGCATGGTGCGCGCCTATCACTCCCAGCCAGCCAACCAACCAACCAACTAGCCCCCTCCCCACACCCGGCTTTCTCAGGGGGCTCACCGCCTCATCTGACAGCCCGCTTCTCCTTTTCCCCATTTTATAGCCACACATTTAAATGGAAAAACATGACTCCACCTCCGGACAGGACAGTTCCGCCTCTTAGTACATGAGCCTGGGGATTACCTACCCCAGTCCATTCCACTGACCTACTGGGACTCAGGGATGAGGTCCTTAGAGCAAGGCAGAGTACCAAAAATGTCAATCCTTAACCCAATCTGCCATAACCCAATCTGCACCCAGCCCATCGATACCTCATTAAAATCATACCATTACATTTCATTATATATATATATATAAAAAGAATGTTTCAAATATGCATGACAATCCTATTCATTAACTGCTCTTAATAGAATATAGTTCTAAAATAAGATTTTTGGAAAGCTGCCTTCAAATAAAATGACCAGCACTCCTTATAATGATTGCTGCTAAATTAGATACAAAGTATATGTAGTATACATACCTGATACTAAGTATAAATATGCACTATGCAGTGTTACCTGATATAAAGTATATGTCAGTATATACAAAGTATATGTCAGTATATATACCTGATACAAAGTATATGTCACTGTACATTGTTACCTGATACAACCATATATGCACTATGCAGTTTTACCTGATTCAAAATATACATGCAGTAATCATTGTTACCTGATACAAAGTATATGTGCCCTATGCATGTGTTAACTTGATACCTCAGCCCCCCCACCCCCTCCCTCATACTGATCTGCAGATCCAGAGCGTGCTGATTACTGCATCTTTAAAGCTATCACTTTAAATTCTGACTTCAGTCTCAGATATTGTAACTTTCTTATATCACCACCCCCCTCCATTCCCTCTTTGCAGGTTTGATTCAGCTGTGATCTCTCTGCTTCATAACACATTACATAACGATCCATAACGATATGATGACAATGGAACTCCACTATCACCGATTTCTCTTTAAATGTCCTATCTCTGTGCCTTTTTTCCCTTTTCTTTTTTTAATTGTGAAATGTCAGCAAACACATATTCCAACACACCTTGATCGACTGACCTTGCTGGTCCTGGGAAGGAGTTAATATGTTGCAAAAAAAACAAAAAACCCCACCAAACCCCCCCCCCCAAAAAAAAAAAACGATTATTGGTGTCACAGACAGAAGCCGTTGAGTTTTGTAAACAGGAATAGATTCAGTTCTTGTTCCGATCATAGGGTGTCTTTTTCTGAAAGTGTTGTAAGAGCTATGCCAACCTGTTGCATGAGAATTAAATAAAAAGTCAAGGGGAAAAAAATCCACTTTTGGCCACTAGGGGTAGCTGTTGTCTGATATACCTTTGTACTTGGGGCTGCTATATATGTATAAACTAATATTAGACGTCTCAACACCCACGTGCTATAGTGCATACATTAATTTTTGGGTTGCAGGCTTACATAACTAGCATCATCTTCAATTTAGTAGCAATCAATATTTATTGAATGGGTGAGATATTCAGTAGCTGTATGCAAACACTCAAATTGCAGTGCAGTTAGTAAATCAGATAAACCATCTGCCAGGGTAGGGTCTGGAACAAACAGCTAGGACAATGTCCCAATTATTAATGCAGTTATTATATGAAAGCTTAGAAATTTATTTTAATTAATTTATGTGCATTAAAAAAAATCAACATGAATATTGCGTGCTGTTTTAAAGATCACTATCAAATGATAATATTATGGGTTAAAATTTATGCATAGAATCCTCTACTGCAAACGTATGCTCTACAGATTGTATGGACGACATCTCCCCCTTTTCAGCATTATAAAGCGAAAGAGCATTATGGGTGATGTAGTCCACAGCATCTGCAGTGCCGAAGGTTGCCTACCCCTGCTCTATTGCTTTATGGATATTTTCATTCTTCAAATTGTTTGCATTTCAAATGCTTCATTTCTTTGGCCCAAAAAATGAATCCTGAAATAGCTACGAAATACAGCATAACTGCTTTCACATTTACTACATTGTCTCTTTAAATACAAGCTAGGAAAATCAGAGCTATTGCAGCACAATGCTAAATTTATTTCAGAAAATTCGCAAGCATGAATTCTTACTGAGAGGGCAGCTAAGGCTTCCGCAGCTCAAACCTATTCAAACTGCTTTGTCATAGACAACTGGATGCTTGAATCTATCTAACATTATCAGAAAAATACATAGAGGCGTTGAATTTTTTTTTATTGGCTATACCGTGGATTTTGGGGAATCATGTGGTCTATAACAGAATTATGAAATTTGGGATATAATTACTGATTTGAGAAGCAATAGCTGAGTTAAAGAAGTTTATAACCTTGGCTATATAAACTGATTTTCCCATTTTAATTGACATTAGACTTGTGCACATATGCTGGCGTGAAAAATCAAATTCCTTTTAATCTATGCCCGAACAAATCGATCCATCCAAAATTTACCTGTTGGGTCTTTTCAAAGAATAAAACTCCACAGGTACATCTCGGTTGGATCGATTCATTTGAGTGCGGAATGAAAGGAGCTTGAGTTGTTCATACGAGCTAATAAGAATTTGTGCACAAGCCTGGTTCACTGTACTCTCTAATTGACTGTTTTTAGATATGTTTAGCTATCTGTTTGGCTACTGGATAGAACTGCATGTGCCAATCAATTTGGTTTTATTTTTGTATTTCCGTTGTATGTTTTTGTACGATCAGATGAGTTTAACGAGTTGAGTATTGATAATATCTTGATACAATCAGTTGAAATCATTACTAGATTGCATTGATTCCAATGGGTAATTTCATAAAATCATAATAAATGTATTAAATATAATAAAACTTTGGTATACACCAAGTTCAGTTCTGGATTATTTAGATGTGTCCCAATCAAGAGCTTTTTCAAAGAATGTCAATGCAAGTAGCCAAGGTCTCAGATAACTCATTGATATATCAATCAATTTCTGCAGAATGCTGTTTAACCCCTTAAGGGCCAAACTTCTGGAATAAAAGGGAATCATGACATGTCAGACATGTCATGTCTCCTTAAGGGGCTAATTATGCTGTTAAGATTGGCTGATGAGCTAAACTAACCATCTGTTTGGATTCATTTGGGAAAATCTATTCACTGAAGGAACCACATACATTTGCATCATTATTTTGTTGAGTTAAACAATAGTTTGAAAATTCAATAGAAGGTCAATTCGTTCGTGAAATATAACTGTTTTGTTCAAAATCTGAAATTTTAGCAGCCTACCCATTTTGACATTTTATTGCACTTTGGAACGATTAAAAGATGACTCATTTTTATTTATTGAACTGACAAATTATTAGCAGTTAATTTGTGTGTGTTTTTATTCCGCAGGGGAAAAAACTTTTTGACCTGTAACCATTGCTTATCACCAAACAGGGTGATGTGAATTGTACAAAAGTATAAAGGGAAAAGCAAAAACATGTTCAATTTGATGTTATCTCATCAGTTAACAAGAAAAATAAAAACGGTTGTTTTCATTCAAAACTAGATTATAAGGAATGTCTTTATTTACAACGTTTTATCAATCCAAACATTTGGTCCCAGAAATATGTCAAGATGGACTTGAGAATAGAATCACGCATGCATTAAGAGTGTGGTGCAGTTGTTAGGTGCATCAGTATATGATTCAGGAATTCTAAATGTCTCAATTATAATAGAATTGCTTAATCACCATATTGTGGACCTTGAGTGGTCCTTGATGAGTGTTATGAGATCTTCTGTGGGTAGACATTTGGAATTTTCTCACACCAATGGGTAGTGGGGAGAGGATAATGTAAGCCCTGGTGGATGGTTGGTGGTCCATGCACGTCAGTGTGAGAAGCACCTGTAGTAGAACATTTTAGACAACATCCGAGTGTGATTAATGACTATTGTGTAAAGATGTTATCTTTAGTAAACTCATCATAAACTCATTGTATTTTATATTTTGCAGTTGACCAATTTCAGGGCTGTCACTTGTAAGTATGGAAGAGATTTGGTTTTTAAACTCTGGTAAGGAGCAAGCAGCAACAAAATTAAACTTGTTTCCATGGCGATGGTTCTATCGATGCTCCTGAAGTGCAATGATACCATGTGTCCTCAGGATCTACTGATTCCTTCACCATTATGATACTTGTCACATAATGAAATCTCTAAAATGAGAGTGTGAAATATATTAAATATTAGATTTGTGCATTTGAATTCATCCAAATTGCGATTTGGCAGAACATGGGCCGATGAGCTCTTCGGCTGAATGCCATATCTCTGAAGAACCATGCGGACGTATAACTGAGAAAATTGCTAGTGCGATGGCGGAACATGTTCACTTGATTCGATATTCAGTGTTCCTCTAATTGCGCCAAAGATATGATTGATGAGAAAAACAATTATTGATGGCTAGGGCACAGACACTAAACGTTGAGTTTATGCACAGATCAGGTGAGACGTGAGGAATAGAGTGGAAAAAAGGAGGGATAGTAAAAAAAATTATAATTACAAATTATATATGTAATAAATAAATGAATCACTATAATATATTAATATTTTTTTTTTTTACTACTCCTCTTTTTCACTCTATTGGTAACTTTTTTTCCCTTGATCTGTGAAACAAATGGTGGGGAAAATGTTTTCTTAAATATTTTTCCCCGGACGATATTACCTACTATTGAAATTGTATGATATGAGATATTTATGATTTAAGTATTAAACTATTCACATTCGAGGACCAAATGATTGCCCTTGTTTCTTTATTATAGCCTAATACATTATACTGACTTATCAAGAATAATTGTAGATCGTTTGACTAATCTTCAAATGACAAACCAGTCCCTCGTTAAGTAAACAGCTCAACTTCCAAAGTTCCAAGTATACATTTTGCAATGTACATAATGTCAGTGCAAGTTCTAGTTAATGAAGCTTTGAATGTTTGATGTACCCAAGTTTAGTGCTTT